GAGATTTTCATATGATTACATGCTGAAGGAGATCTCTCACACAATGGAGCATTTTGGAGGGGTGGTGAAAGAGAAAACATTATGGCCGCTTCCAGGATTTTGTGTTCCACTAGAGGTATGCAAAATCCCATTAAACCAGTCAGTCGCTATTGTTGTCAACTGATGCAAAATGTTTTGTGGGTAACAGCTTCTTGCATACGAGGCAATTCCTAAGCTAGGAGTTGCGTTCAGAGAGCCTGTTGTTGGAGCTTTTCCCGACTGTCCGAGGATGTGCAAGACCTCATTCAAACGAAATGGATCGACAGGAGTGTCACTTGATGTGATAAACAAGGAATTGGGTAACACAACTGTAAGTCTTCCTGTGAAACTGTGGTAGAACTATGGTAGAACTGTGAAATTGTGGTAGAACTATGGTAGATCTATGGTAGAACTGGAAAACTATGGAACTATGGTAGAACTATGGGCGAAGCTTAAAAATTAATTATGTTTGTGGCAGGTTATTGATAGCATCATCCCCACCAAAACTCCACAAGAAGAAAGATTGTTGAATGAGATTTTGGAGGATGAAGACGACATTGATGTACCCGATTTAGCTGTGGATAGTTGGGATAAGTGTTTGGATGCAGGTGAAAAGATATTTTTCAAAGACATGTTCGAGGAAGATGTAGCTGGGCGTGCAAAACAGCCAAAACCAATTGAAGATGCAGCAGGAGATGGAGTACAGATAGGTGAGCAGTCAGTTCAACTGGGAGATGTTATGAAGTTGGTGAAAAGAACAATGAAATTGTTGAGGACAGTTGACAAGAAGGTTGACCAGTTGAATGGAAGATTGGACCCGCTAGAGGAGTTTGTCAAGGAAGCACAAGGCAAAGCAGCAGAGGTAGATGAAGCAGAATCACAAGGGAAAGGTAAAAAGCAGAAACGCAAGAAGTCTTTAGGGAAAGGAAAAAACCAGAAAAGCTAAGTGAAGTGGAGTGAAGAACCTATGGTTTTATGTTTAATGTTTTTATTTTGTAGACAAACAAAGTCTTTAGATGTTTATCTAGTTTGTGATGTGGATTTAGAACTTTAACTATGTTATGACTATGTTGTTATGACTATGTTGTTATGACTATTTTGTTAGGTTGTTATTGCTGAACATGATATCTTCGACAGATTACAAACTTTAAAATGAACATAAGATAAGATTCAAGACTATCTAGAATTATAACATTAGTCTTCGACAGAGTACAAACTTTAAAATGAACATGAGATAAGATTCAAGACTAGCTTGAATTATAACATAAGTTTTGAAATGAAAAGAGACACTTATACAAGTCTTAACAAACAAAGACTTGTATTAACCGAAATTGGGAAATACATAGTTTTTTAGCACATCCATGAACTCAATACTTAGCAATCTCTTGAGGTGGATGTAATAAGCCTCTTAAGCTTAGCAATCTCTTGAGCCATTTCATTGACCTCCATCCATAGGCGCCTCATTTCCTCCTCAACACCAAAAGTCCATGGCTGACGAAAGTGCATCCCATCGTCCTGCACAGTTTCACCCAGAGTATAACTCAGTTTCACCCAGTATGACTAAACACAGTTTCACCCAGAGTATAACACAGTTTCACCCAGTATGACTACACACAGTTTCACCCAGAGTATAACTCAGTTTCACCCAGTATGACTAAACACAGTTTCACCCAGAGTATAACACAGTTTCACCTAGTATGACTAAACACAGTTTCACCCAGAGTATAACACAGTTTCACCTAGTATGACTAAACACAGTTTCACCCAGAGTATAACACAGTTTCACCCAGTATGACTGACACAGTTTCTACAAAGAAGGAAATTACCTCATAATTCTTGCAGGTGAAGTACCTACTTCCAGGCAAGGTATCGAAATCGTGGCGATACTTCGGATTTGGAGACACATCCGTCTTGATTTCACCACCACATGGGCAACGGGTAGGAATTCCATATTGAGCATCGCAAATGTAACCTAACCTGTCGTAGTGTTTCTTCAGCTTCTTCATCTCTTTCTCCTCTTCGTACGGATGAGTCATGGTCAGTAAAGGGGAAGGGAAAGAGTAAAATCGTGGATGTAGAGAGAATATGAGGATAGAGAGGAAAGATAATGGATTATGAGATGTGTGTGGGAGTGGGAGGACGAGATGAGAGAAAAGAGTAGAGAGAGAGAGAGAGTGGTTGGCTTGGAAGTGACAAAAGTGTGTAGACAGAGCAAAGCTGACGAGACAAGAGGGAGAGTCACGAGAAAGAGAATCTAACTTTGACCAAAATAATTGAAAATTTTGGAATATTTTCGCTTTGGCGCGAAAATAAAAATTATTTTCCCCCCAAACAAATTTGCTCATAGTTTTACTGAAGTTTCAGGTGTTACCAAATTTGTTCATAGTTCTATTTTTCGTGATTTCAACATTTTTTAGTTTTACGTATAATTTAAATTTGTGAATAAAGTTTTACTTTTCATTTTTCCACATTAACATGGAAGCATAACTGATAAGTGCAATAATATTGTTAAAATCACGAGAATTATAGAGTACTACTTTGTAAGCTGCTCTTTATTAATAAAGTGATCTTGGAAAGACTATATAATGCATAAGATAAAATGTGATATCAATGAATCATGTTAGTTAATATTTGTTATTTTGCAATAGTATTGTCGATGAATGTGATGTTGATGAATTAGTTAAGTGATTGTGGTTGGATTAGAGCGGATTATTTCATGTTGATATCTCTTAACTTAGTAACACCTTTATTAACTTAGTAACACCTTGTTTTACTAGTTTTTCGTGGTTTTCCAATACATAGTTGAGACAATACATAGATGAGACAATACATAGTTGAGAGTTTCCAAACAGA